TGTAAAAGAAAAGCCAAGAAAAACAAAGATAGTCCTCTTATTCTTCATTTATTCTGTATTATAGCAATTGGCTTCTTGATATAACACAGAAACTTTTAAATGTTGTTAAATAACATGCTTGGATTTTAGAGTAGGAAAGCCAAACCCAACTCTAAATCCAGTCTCGATTTAGTTGAATAGGGACCAGGAAATGAATAGACATAGAGTTATTCGAGAGACAGCTGTAAATTTTTACCGTATAGCAGTTACTCCCTACAGGTCAATGTTAATGATTCTAGGAAAATGATTAAAGAGAAATGTATCGCAGTAGCTCATGCTTGAATGCATTAGAACTTGTATAAACAAAAACATCTTGAGTTATTTGATGCCATGTGTTTAAGAGACAACTGGTGCTCATACTCTTTAATTTTCACAGGCTTCAAACCTCTGTCCTGCACCTCAGAACCTGGCTGTATTTGAACTTGGGCAAATGTCTTTATGATAATTCTAAACAAATTCATTAGAACACTGGTTCAATGTTAATTTCTGAAGAGGGAATAGATATTCTTCTGTAGGTAAATAAAATAAAGCTTATATTTCTGTTAAATCAATATGTGTTAATTTTGCTATTTGTTGTCTTTAGAAGTTAGGATTTTTTGGAGATCCTCAAAAGAAGAGTACTTTCAATTGCATGTACACAACACCAGGAATGAAGGTAGTGATTAAAGTAATAGTCCACAGGCTGGTGAAACCCACAGAAACAGCTGACCTGAACAAGGGGAATCTTTTGGTCCCCAGACTGATAGCTGGGAAACCAGCATGGGACTGATCCAAACCCCATGAATGTGGGTGTCAGTGAGTAGACCTTAGAAAACTATGGGCCCTCTTGCAGTACATCAGTACTTATCCCTAGCATAGGAATCAACTTTGGGTGCCCATTCCACATAGAGGGATACTCCCTGAGCCCAGACACAGGGGGTGGACATAGGCCCTATCCCAAAAGATTGAGGTGGGGGGGGGCGGGGGAGGAGGGAGGGGATGGGCACACACACTTAATCATTCTTCTTTCTAATTCAAATTAAAAATGGGAAAAAATATAAATGTGAAAAAATAGTCAACATTAGAGTATTTGTGTTTCCTGGATTTACCTATATAGTAAACACCTTTGTTTTTCTTGAAAGTATTTTATGCTTCCAACCAAAAGTATCCTTATGACTTGAGAAATAATCTCAAAGTTTCACTGCCTTGTTTAATGATAAGTCTTTCCGACAATCCACCCAAGCCCCACAGTCATGTTCAGGTCCCAAGTAACACAGAGAGACTTACATTAGGTCCAATGCTGCTGGCCAATGACTAGAATTTATCTATCTCTGTCTTAAGTATCAACCATAATTATTAATCCATATATTATATAAACTTATCTAGGATGCCGGTGGCATGCTACCGGTCCTCATGGGCTCACATGGTGACTCTCTTCCTTTCCTACATTTCCCAGAATCCTCCTTCTTTCCTACTCCTTCCTATCTTGCAACCCAATTGGCCAACAGTGCTTTATTTATCAACCAATAAGACAAACATATACACAAGAACGTTCCCCATCATCTCTTTTCTGTCCAAATAAAAATAAGGGTTTTAACTTTAACATAGTAAAATACGTAACAGTTATTAAGTAAAAACTATTGCTACAATATTTAGTCCATTAACACTTAGCAAGATTCTATCATCTATCTTATCTTTGTGAGTCTAAAGTACTATATGTAGCTTATCTTTTATAATAACTAAAGAAAACTATAACCATAACTATCTGTCTTCAATCCAACAAAGACCACAGAAGGATAATACATAAACTCTAGATCTGACTGAGATATCTCACTACCTGGACAGTCACCCAAAGTTCATCTGTAACTCTGTATCAGTGTTCAGCCTGTAGGCCACAGTGTGTCTGTCACACTTCTCAGTGAAGCAGTAATCATTCAGGACTGTCTTGTTTTGCAAGTTCAGCAGACACTTTCTGTGGGTCCTGCATGTCCAGTTTATCAAACATTCCAGGCAAGAGTAGTTTTTTGCCCAAATGTCTAATCTTGCCACTTTGAAAGCAAACTCCATAATGAGATTCTTCGATGCCCATCTTCCTCTCAGACATATTTTGTGTGCCAGGAGCAGTTGTGTCTCACTGCCATGAAAAAACGCTAAACTATTTAAATGTCACTTATTCTTTGGGTCTTTGATGATTTGAAGAATATCTCTCAATCTCAAATACATCTCTGTATATCTCGAAAACCTAACTAAACTAATTATAAATTTTGACTACTATAGGTGACTATAAAATTTAATTATGCATTACATTTTAAAAGATCAGTATAAACACATTACCTAAACAAGAGGAGACATATACATATCACAAAATTGACCTTAAAGTTGTATCAATAAATGAAAATCCATACCAACATAAAGTATTCATTTCTATATCATATTGCCCTTTTTCCTTAAAAGAGATTGACTGTGATCATTACCATTTATAACCAACCCCAGTTAAATGAAAACTAACAATTTTAAACAATATTTGGGTATTTGGGCGTAGTTCATTCCAAACTGCTTCCTGC